GTCACCCCCAACTGCCCTCCCCTGCAGGCCCGGTCCCCCCCAACTGCTCTCCCCTGCAGGCCTGGTCGCCCCCAATTGCCTTCCCCTGCAGGCCTGACCACCCTGCTGGCCTGGTCACACCTAACTGCCCTCCCCTGCTGGCCTGGTTGCCCGTAACTGCCCTCCCCTGCTGGTCTGATCGCCCACAACTGCCCTCCCCTGCTGGCCATCTTGTGACCACATGGAGGTGGCCATCTTTGACCACATGGGGGTGGCTATCTTATGTGAGGGTGTGATGGTCAATTTGCATATTACCTCTTTATTATATAGGATGAGACTTTATTTTGGGTATGGTGTGAATTTGGGGCTTCTCACAGTTCTAATATGATTTATTGAATTCTCCATCTTATCCATCTTTTTTACATGTTAAAGTACTATTTATAATAAATTTTAAAAAATTATTGCTTCATTTTGTGTGTATTAAATAGCATGTTCTTTTAAAGAAATTTCTTTAAAATTGCTCTTTTTTTTTTTTAAATATATTTTATTGATTTTTTACAGAGGAAAGGAGAGAGATAGAGTTAGAAACATCGATGAGAGAGAAACATCGATCCGCCGCCTCCTGCACATCTCCTACTGGGGATGTGCCCGCAGCCCAGGTACATGCCCTTGACCGGAATCGAACCTGGGACCTTTCAGTCCGCAGGCTGACGCTCTATCCACTGAGCCAAACCGGTTTCGGCAAAATTGTTCTTACAATATAAAAAAATGAACTTCTGAATCTTCATGTTCTGTAAATCTGAAATTTTTATTAGGATCTCATTGTATTTATCAACATAACTTGGGAACGATTGGTATTTTTACCATATGGGTTCTTTCATCCAGCAATGAGAATGCCTTTGTTAAGTTCTTTTATGCCCGTCAGTCATCTATCACATGCTTATTGAATGTGCCAGGCACTTACCTAAGAGATTGGATGCATACTGAACGGACCACACAGAGATTCCTGCCCCAGTGGAACTTATAGTAGTACAATTTTCTTTTTATAGTTCTTCTACTTTATTTGTTTAATTCCTAGATATGTTATATTTGTTTTCATTGTGGATGGTATAGTTTTGTTTGTCCTATTACATTCTCAAATTTGTTACTGATCTATAGAAAAGTGTTTTTGTAATTGAATTATATACAACTGGCTTATTAGAATCTTGTTTTAATAGTTTGATGCTTTAGATTTTCTAGTTAGACAGTCGTATTTGCAATCTCTTCTCTTCTAATATTTATATCTCATTTCTTTTTCTTATACTTCTTCTAGAAACCTTCATTGTCAAGCCCTCCAATATAATGTTGAATAATATGGGTGATGGCAGGTGTCTTTGTCTTGTCATCTTTTTCGACTTAAATGAGCATTCTTTTAATATTGAGTATGGTGTTTGCTGTAGGTTTCTGATATTTTTGTTTAGCTAAGAACATTTGTTTTTTGAGTTGGGTTTTAATTTTATCAGTTGCTTTGTCTGTATTTCTTGAGGTGATTGATGAGACCCCTTCTTTTATCTTGCAATATAGAGTAACTAGGGGCCCGGTGCACGAAATTCGTGCACTGGAGGGGGGGGGGGGCCTCAGCCCAGCCTGCCCCCTCTTACAGACTGGGAGCCCTCAGAGGATGTCCTACTGACGGCTCCCCTTGGGGGAGCGGGCCTAAGCCACAGTCTGGCTTCCCTCTGTGGGAGGTTACCAGGCTGACCAGGGGAAGGCGCCAGCCCCATCACCCCGCTACTGCAGCCACTGCCAGCCACCACAGCCGCCAAGGTGTTTTCATCAACACGGACTCCAGTCCCTTCACCATGAAAAAATGACAACTTTCTTTAGGCATTTTCAAGATGTGTCTTTCATAGGATATGACATTTTTTCTTTCCTCCCCTCCCCTCCCCTCCCCTCCCCTCCCTCACCTGAGGGTATGTTTCCATTGATTTTTAGAGAATGTGGAAGAGAGAGGGACAGACAGAGAGAAACATCAATGTGAGAGGGACACTTTGATTGGTTGCCTCCCGAATGAGCCCTGACCTGGGCCCAGGCCAGGGAGGAGCCTGTAACCTAGGTATATGCCCTTGATCAGAATCGAATCCGGACCCTGCGGTTGGTAGGCTGAGGCTCTATCCACTGAGCCAAACCGGCTAGGGCAGGATATGACATTTCTTAGCCCCTCCAGCAGCAGATCTTCGTTTTTTCCTTCAGGAGTGTGGTGGAAAAACCCTAGATCACCTTCTTGGATTCTTATAACCCAAGTTACCAAGAACACTGCAAGTGGCGGCGTATAGGGAGCTTAGCCAATGCGCGGTCAGAAAAGGTGTTTACGCTTGAACTGGTTTGGCGCAGTGGATAGAGCATCTGCCTGCAGACTGAAGGGTCCCAGGTTTGATTCCTGTTAAGGGCATGTACCTTGGTTGGGAGCACATCCCCAGTGGCGAGTGTGCAGGAGGCAGCTGATCAATGTTTCTCTCTCATCGATGTTTCTGACAGTCTATCCCTCTCCCCTCTTCTCTGTAAAAAAATCAATAAAATATATTTTTTAAAGAAAAGAAAAGGTGTTTCCTCTGCAGCCCATGAGTAGAGGATCCCCTGCGTTGTGTCCACTGGGCTAGGGGCGTGTCCCTGGCCACCAGGGACATACTCCCAAGCCGGGTGGCCCCGCGTTGGCTGTGTCCAGGGGCTGAGGGGCATGGATCCCGTGGACATGGCGACGGCAGCTGCCGGGGGCATACCCCCAAGCCCAGTGGCCCACGTTTGCTGTGTCCACTGGACTGAGGGGCGTGAACCCGGCCCACTTTCAGAAAGAGAGATTATAAAAACAATCCCATTTACCATCGCACCAAAAAAATTAAGCTATCTAGGAAGAAACTTAACTAAAGAGGCAAAAGACCTCTACTCAAAAAACTACAGGACGTTGAAAAAAGAGATAGAGGAAGACATAAACAGATGGAAGAACATACCATGTTCATGGATTGGTAGAATCAACATCATTAAAATGTCCATACTACCCAAAGCAATCTATAAATTCAACGCACTTCCCATTAAAATACCAACGGCATACTTCACAGATCTAGAACGAACTCTCCAAAAATTCATCTGGAATAACCCGTAGGCCACTCCTGGCCGGGGCGTTCTGTGACACCGGCCGCTCAAGGCCTACACGCGGGCCTACAGGCTCGGAGCGGCCTGGGTCCCGAGGATGTTCCCAGGACCCAGGCTGCTTGGCGCCCGCATATACAAATTAACCCGCCATCTTTGTTGGGTTAATTTGCATACTCAAGCCTGATTGGCTGGTAGGCGTCATGGAGGGATGGTCAGTTTACATCTTTCTCTTTTATTATATAGGATGTATTGATTTTCAATGTTGAACCAGCCCTGTATTCTTGGATTCAAAACCTTGTTC